TCATGATTTTCTTTTTAAAATATTGTTTGAAGTCAAGGTGGTGACAAGTAGACATTGACAATGAAATCGGTTTCTCAATTGCTTGTTTTGCAATGTTGTCGGCTCTTTCATTTCCTATTATTCCACAATGTGAATGGGTCCAAAAAAACTGAACAGTTCGATTATTGATTTGGCATATCATGAGTTCCGACATAATTAAACTTAAAATACGGTATTTAGTAAAAAGTTTGTTGAATGAGGAGAATGAACTCAATGAATCACTAATTATTACGGTATTAACAATGTTATTTTCATTGACGAATTTTATTGCCTGAAGAATTGCAAATAGTTCAGCAGAGAATAGGGTGAATTGCTTAGGAAGTTGAAATAACCGTTCTTAGCTGGTTGTTACAAATGCAGCACCCACTTCTTTTTCCGATTTTGACGCATCAGTATAAATGTGGATGGACTTGTGATGTCTATGAAACTTCTCTAAGGCTTTGGTTTTAAAGAGGTATGATGAAGTATCAGATTTTTTAAATGATGTAAGACTAATATCGCACTTTGCATGTATGTTTGCTAAAAAGCATAGCTTTTGTTTTATTATAAGAGAACCGCAGACCAGTAGTATTAGACCAGTTTTCGAGATTGCTAATGGCTCTTTGAATATGATGTGATATGGATGATAAATTTTTTGATAATATTTTTGATAATTGATAATATTATTATTTGCAATAAGAAATAAAGTAACACTAAGAGTGAACCGTTGAAGAATACCGTTTGATTGGGTTTTAATATCAGAATAAGTGCTGTCTATTTGAACTTGAAAATGTCGCTTCAGGAGAAAGTTTCTGGTAAAATTCAAGATGTTTCCTAGAATTAACTAGCTTGGCAAGGTATTTAAAATATCTTGTCTCCAAATTATGTCATATGCGTGAGTTATATCAAAGAAAACAGCTAAACAGTCCTGCCCACAGCCAAATGATTTATTTGCTACAGATTCTATGTCTACTATGTTATCAGTAGTATACCTAGATTTCCTAAAACCACTTTGAATTGAGCTAAGAAGTTTATTTTCCTCTAGATGCCACAGTATACTATTACTGACCATTTTCTCAAGTATGTTTTTGGTATGTATTTGCTAAAACTTCAGCTATCTCCGCTTTTGATGAGTATGTTTTAGTATCTTTTTCTAGGTAGTGGATAGTATTGAAAGATTTATTTCCATACATCCTGTTGACCATTTTCCAAACATCTGTAGTAGAAGTAGATGAGTTTATGAAAGATATATATTTTTTTTCAGGCTTCTTTTTTACTTTGCTTTGGGACATATCTGCAGTAAGCCCGTAGTCTCTTAAATTCAAATTTATTGTTTAAGGTTGGGTATCTCTTAAGCCTGTAGAAGGCTCTTTTAGAATCTTTTGTAGCTTTTTCACATACAGCATTCCACCAGGGGGCTAGATTATGATTTTTTTGGAGAACTACAATGCGAATGGATCTATGTGAAGCAAAAGTTATGCATTGTACACAACTCGATACTTTAAAGTCAATTTCTGCCCCTTCGTCAAAAGAAGATATCAAGTTCAATATCCATAGATTATGAAATTAAGGAAGAGTAAAGAGGTTAATTGGCATTTTTCAATGACCATTTATCAATGGGAATAGATGAGGAATTGTGGTTAATATTAGATAATATTATAGGAAAATGACCGTTTTCATATAAATAAGACATAACTTTCCAAGATGATTCTGATGTAATTTGTTCGATTTTATGGCCTAGAGAGTCCACTTTTTTAGCTCCCCATAAAAAATTATGAGCGTTGAAATCACCTACTATTATTCGAGGTTGAGGAATCGATTCAAAAAGATTAACTAAGTTATTTTTAGATCTATCTTGGCCAGGAGGGATATAGAAATTACAGATACTAACTTTTTGAGGTCCTTTAAGAATTATGGCTGTTGCTTCAAGATCAGTTTTTAAAGGAATTAAATCAACTTTGAATGATGTATTGATATAGATAGCTACACCTCCACTAGCATGGCATCCAGTCGTTCTATTCTTAAAATATGGTGTATAGTTTTTAAGACTATGATACGAATTTCCTTTGAAATGTGTTTCTTGCAAAAATAAGATGAATGAATGAAATTTATTTATAAGAATTTTAAGATCTAAGTGGGTGTGATAACCATTTAGGTTCCATTGAATAATAGAATTGAAAATAGTTTAATTAATACGTCTCCGAAGAGGAATCGCTGAATAAATTATTAAAATAAATTAAAATATTTTTTACGTTCTTTTAATTTTAGCGCATTTATTGGATTCTATTCGTGTATCAGTATTTTTGCTAAGAGCAAGGCTCCTACTCTTTTTTAGCTACCATAAAAGTTGTGTCCAACGTTCCCACTTTGTGAATATTTTCCAGTTCTCGTTTTGTCCAACATCAATGATATATTTTGCCAACATTTTCGATATTTGCTACGAGAATCATTCTGGACGTCCAACATCAATGTTGGACATAAATCATCAAAAACGCCCGGAAAATAGTTTTCAAAATTTAAGCAAAATTTTATTAAAGATCGTAAGTCGGTTTTTGTTTCTAATGTAAATTATAATGACTGCAGCTCAACATATATTAGGCAAATACAGCAATATCTACACAGAAAGGTTGTTGCATACAAACATAGTTTACAAACCAACAAATTAAACACTACAACTGTTGCTAAGCCATTCTTTTGATTTTGTACAGATTTTGAAAATTATTTAATTTCAATGTTCGTTTGTCCAATGATTTGTCCGATATATGAGATTTTATCTCCAGTTCTCTGAGCAAGATAATATTTTATCCTAGGCAGGGAAGTAACCTTACCAAGGAACACCCTGCCTTATCCCGCTCTCTTGGGACCGACAATGGTAATAATGGTTTCTGAGCTACTTAATCCATCCAGATTCCGTCCTCCGTCTATAACGTATAATGATTTATAACCGCTCGCCGAAACATGTATAGGCGCTACCAAATGGGAGGTTTCTATAAATTCTGCAGCATTTCTACAAACTTGCTTCCATTTCCCCACCTTTTCTTCGCAGGAAACAGTTCTATCAGTCAGGAGAGTAAGCTAGCTGTCGTATCATCAGTTAATTAATAGGCCTATTCATTAATGAAGCGATGTAACATTTCAAGGAAATTGGTTCTCGTGATAAGCACTACCGTAGCATTTTTATTTGTAAAGAAATATAGTCTTTCTTGTATAATACTAACCAGCTAAACTGAAATCTAAAATTTAATTGATACGATTATTTTTGTCATTAGTCTTTTTATTATAAATTCAGTATATGAAAAACGCTTGCAGTATCTTGTTTATTTCTTGTAAGAACTATCTCAAACCCCATGCACTGGACATTATAGACGTATTGTATTGCGGTAACCTATAAAGCATTTCTTTCTTTTGCGAAAAAGCGAAACCTGGTATTCTCAACGTTTTGTAGCAACATAAAATTCTGACAGCACAGAAATGGATGAAAGTTATGTAGGGAACTGAATTCGAAATGAATTATTTGCAAAAGCCACGAAACAGTTGTTTATGTGACAGCCTTGTAAACCTCTTCGAGTATTTCAAATAGAGTTTTCTTTCAAATTTCCCTCACGAAACTACAATAATGGGATGAAAGTTGCTTAGGGGAGTTGTAACTTTCAGTGGCAGGGAGGACTGTTTCTCTTCCGGAGAACCATTATATTTTAAAACGGCTCCTTTTGTTGTAAATTATTTGTGGGTATTATATACCGAGCAACTAACCACAATATCGGAGGTGTGCACAATAATATATTAAATGTGGATCTTACAAAGTGAGAAAGAAAGTGATCTTGTGTAAAAGATAAAATAGAAAAATAATATGAGCACAAAAGGAACTGTATACTTTGGAGATATATATCTAGAAATATTAAATATATTACAATTTAAATATTTTAAATCACAATTAAATTAGTGATTACTAATGAGAAATTTAATAATAAAATAATGGAATATCATTTAATGCTTGTTTGGTTGAAGATGGTACATTATACAAATATTGGATAATCGTTTTTTCGTTTTGGAACTTGAAAAGTAAACTGTCATAATCATCGCCTTATCATGTCAAGAATTCTCTTTTTCATTTAATTAGGAAATTAGAATCAGTGCAGACTCCATTGAGCGAAAATGTATTTTACAGTGAAAAGAACCTCTACTTCCTCTTCTTAAACTTTAATGTATTTAGTTCCAGATGCATTCACCAGGCAATCTAGTATAATTACAGTATTTAAGTATATTTTATACCATACAGTACTCACAAATAAAATCCAGATATTAGGTTATAGTTCTAATTGATTATTACCATACGGTTTTTCATAATTGTTCTTCAATTTGTAGTTCCATTTCTGACCACAAATACAAACAGATATGGTGGTAAAGACGTGGTATCTGCTTAAAAAACAAAAAGACTAAGATGTGGGCTAATGCGGCTATCACAGCCCTGCGTCGCAGGTGGATCAGAGAGAACGATCTACAGCTAGCGCCTCAGAAAACTGAGGTATTATTTCTCAAAGGGACCCGGGAAAAATCCTGTCTTCGCTTTATAGTGGAGGTTGCACCTGTTAAATTAATTAAGTATCTGGGAGTCTGGTTGTCGGAAGGACTAAGGTTTGGATTACACATCCAAAAGAGGGTAGAGAAAGCGAACCGAAATCTGAAGGCGTTGATACGGCTGATGCCAAACATTGGAGGCCCAGGTAGCACCAAAAGAAAAGTGTTAAATGAAGTTTTCCAGTCGGTAGTAAACCTATGCTCCCCCGTGTGAGCATAGGTTTATATACGGTACCGTACCCTATACCGTACTAAACACTGCAAAATTCGCTAAACTGATGGAGACTTCGCAAAGGCGAATGCTGCTCAGGGTATCTAGCGCATATAGGACAGTTTCAAATGAGGCTCTATATGTCATTGGAGCGGTGATACCGATCGTTTTGTTGTATAGAGAGCGAGAGAGGATGTATGCGAGAAGGATGGATGTAAAGATAGATGAGAATGAAAGAGAAAGAACAATAGTAGAGTGCAGAGAGAATGGGCGAATGATAGTGGAAAGGCAAGGTGGACAAACCAGCTTAATCCCGATCTGAGACCGTGATCGGAATGTAAGTTTAGGAAACTTAACAAATAGAATAGGCAAATCTGTCTCGGCAGACTGTACTGTTTGTGGGGTACCCGACGCTCCCGCCCACATTTTTAACTGTCAGAAAGGGGAGATTTTGAGAGGCGAATGGGTTTCGGGCTGGATGAAAGAAACATTGTAAACATACTGTTGAGAGGAGAGAAAGAATGGAGAGCAGTACACTGTCTTATTTCTGGGGTGATGAAGATAAAGAAGCAGGAGGATAGAGGAGGAAATTGTGCTAGGGATCTGAAATTTATGGTTAATATTATTTATTCATTTATAGCCTAACGTCTGAAAGATTTTCTAATTTACGGTAATAGGTATGATTATTTATAAATTTTTTGTTTTTTATTTTGGTTGTTTATTGAGTGGCAAGACCACCTCTCTGAAAGAATCTTTAAGGTTTTAGCCGGAACACGGTTAATCCGGCACTACCCTGGGGTCTTCTGGCCCAGTATCCTACTTGGCCGAAAGATGCCAGGGTGTCTTGTTCCGTGACGTAGATGTCCAAAAAAGATTTCCCCCACTGTGGCCTGTCAGAATTCAATGTATACCTTCTTAGCTCTTACTAGAATCTGGCAATACGGCAATTAAAAAAAAGATGGCAGGCCTTCAATATTAACATTTTAACTGCCAGGTCAATTCAAAGTAAATGTACCGGGTCTACTGGGCCTAAATATTTTTTCTTCTTAGTTACTCTATTTGTGTTTGGTTTTAGCAAAAATTATAAAATCAGATTTGTTTTTTGGATATTTTTAAAAAATTGTTCATGTGGTGCACGCGGCCTGCGATTGTGAAATTGTTATTAATATTTAGTTGCAGGTCATGTGTACCACAGATGAACAATCAAAGTTAAATATTCTGTTATCTTTTCAGTAAGAGAGTGACACGTGTAAGATGTTTCAATTTGTTATTTACTTCCGATGTGAGCGTATCAAAGTTATAAAATTTAATACGTGAGCGTATAAAAGTTAATAACAAACAACTTCGTTATTTAGAGTTGGAATTAGAAGCAGAAAAGGTTGTCGGTGAGTTAAAGGAGTTTAGAAAAATAAACATGAGTGATGATTGTTCTGATTATTCGGATTCGGATTTGGATCCTACATAATTAATATAGATACAGCGAGAGAAAAAAAAGAGAAAAAGTTAGTTCACTAAAATCTTAAATAACAGTTTAGTTGGTATAATCCGATTTTTTTTAGATTTTTCCTATGAGATTGGTTTCACACAAATGTATTTACGTTTATAAGTATTATAAATATATCATTTAAATTGACACAAAACCTTGATTTGTTTATAGATATAGTAAGCATTATCTGAAAATGGGGTAATATATCGATATTTTTTTGTAGGAGATGTAAAACCCAATACTTCTGCAGGATAATCCCGTGTTCAATCATCTCGAGTAATGAATAAAGAATCAGACAGTTCTTTGACTCAAAATGATGATTTTTTGACAGATATTGTTAGGCCAGAAGAAAATTCGTTACAATATTCAAACTGGGGACCTGTTTCCTGAAATTTTCCCTTTTTCGATTGTCCTTCGAACTTTGGCACTCCTAGACATTGACAAATTGACTGGTAAGAATGGACTGTTATTCTTTAAACTGAAAATGATATAAATATGATTGTCCTCGAAACAAATTGGAATGTAAATTACTCTTGCGCATGTTTGATCTAGCAAACAATGACGATTATTTTGAAAATGACTTTGTGAAATTCAATGTCTAGCTAATGAAATGAACGCTAATTTTCATTAATGTATGATTCCAGGATCAAATGTTTGCATTGATGAAACTATGATCCCATTTAGAGACAAATTATCTTTTCAATAGTACATGAATCGAAAACATCATCAGTTTGAAATAAAGCTGTTTAAAATTTGTTTGTTAGAAGGCTATACCCATACAATTATAATGTGTTGCGGTAAAGAAAAAATTAATGGACAACCGGGTTGTCCTAATACTGAAAGGGTAGTTATGGAATTGATTAAACCTTTATTCGATCAGGGTAGGACTCTTATTACTAAGAACTGTTACACTTCAGTTAACCTTGCTGAAATAAAACAAGATCCACTCATCTTGTAACGTTGAAAAAAAACCGAAAAAATCTTCCCAAAGATGTTATAGAAGCAAAACTCAAGAAAGGGGAGATCATTGCCAAACAAAACAAAAATGATATTGTAGTTATAAAATAGCATGATAACAGAGACGTACTTTTTCCATCTATAAAACATAAAGCCAATATGATAGAAGTAAAGCGTAGAGAAGGATCTAAAAGAAAGCTGCAGCCATTGTCGAGTACAATAACATAAAAGCGTTTGTGTACATTACTCAAACTGCTTACGAAAGTCTATGAAATGGTACAGAAAAGTGGCATTTGAGATCATTACTGGTACTTCACTATTGAATGTTCTAATTATTTTCGATAACATTAACTAAAGCAAAATGTCAGTTACAAAATTCAAACAAATTGTGTGCATGCAACTTCTACAATGTAGTAATTTACTCCTTAGTGAGCAAGTTCAAACCAAACATAAACTTACTCAAAATACTTTGAATAAAAGAGGCATATGTACGATTGTCACAAAAAAAACCCTGAAATATATGGTCGAACTTATGTTGTAAAAAAAAAAACAAAACGAGTAATATGTGTATGCAACGGATGTGAAGACATCCCATTTATGTGTTTAGAATGTTTCTTTGTCAACCATATTTTCACAAAAAAAAAATAACTAAAACATGTACAACAAAATTGACTCTCAGTACTTAATTTTCTAGTTAAAAAATACTACATCCATGTTACTTTTGATTATATACTGTGCTGTACTATCATGAAAATAAAAAAAAATATGGTATATTTAATTTTTATTTTCTTATCCCTTATACTTTAAAAATTAAAAAATATTCCAGGATATTTTTAAATGTCATATTTCTATGGCAGACTCAATGATATTCCTATTTAAATATACAGTAAATGTGTACCAGCAACGAACACATGACTGCAACGCTGATAAAATATGTGTCCTTTATATGTACACATGGCAGAGAACTAAAATTGTCTGTATCCATATATGGTACACATGGCAGTTAAAGTGTTAAAATGCCTAGATACTATACACAACATAACATTAAGAATAATTTTAGGAACTTACTGAACAACACCTGTAGATATCCTATACTGCGAACTGGGCGAACCATCACTACGTTTCAGACGACAAATTTATCATGTACCTCAAAAGTAGCATCGCTTTCATCAATTTCTGCTTACACAAACATTTTTTACAATCGTATCATATCAATTTTTCAACATAGCACCTCCTCACCACATTTTTAAATTAAAATTCACAGCTACATATCAACGTTAAATTTTTAAAATTTTCCCAGAACATAGTTATTGAATTGACATAGCATTCCTCCGTGGGTTATCGAAATCGCACGTTTAAACACTCGATTAAAGTAAAATAATAAATAATGACACCAGTCTACATCTTATATATCAAAATTATAAACAAAGAGTCTCGAATTACAAAAATTACACCCACATCTTCACTGATTCATCTAAGTCTTCCCAAAGCGTAGGTGCAGCAGTATTCATAAACAACGAAACCAAATATTTATTAAAGCTTTCTGGTTCATACAATACTGTCCAGTTAGATAAATATTTGTCTTCAAGTGATGACGTCATTCAATAAACTGACTTTATAACTGACATTAAAATGAGGATTTTATAAAAATATAACAATGAAAAATATATTGTTAATAATGTGAGCGTTTTGTAGACATGACCGAAAAACTGGAGATTTATATCTAATTCAAAGAGTGTTCATGGTTGCCTATGTGAATCTGTAGCCTATGTGGGTATCTGTAGAACAGTGATCGCCAACCTGTCGATCGCGAGCTACCGGTAGCTCGCAGAGGTAATTCTTGTAGCTCTCACAACGATTATAATTTAAAAAATACAAACTGCAAAAATAAGAGAAGCTTCTGAAAATTCCACACAAAAATCTAATTGTCATAATATTAAACATAAACTGCGGCAATGTTGCGGTGAGCGATCTGCCCTTGACGCCGTCAAGCTAGAATCGGCTATTTATAAAACCGACCAGCCGGACCAGCGCGTTAGTGTTCGAGAACAATCTGGATTGCTTTGAACGGGATAAATACATAAATACAACAACAAAAATAATATTATGGCAAGCAGTTGTAATAAGGTAAAGACATACCACTTTCATTCGGAATGGGAAGAACAATACTTTTTTACAGAGGTTAAAGATAAAAATGTGTGTTTGTTAAATAATACTTCGGTCTCCGTTGCCAAAAAAGGAAATATTGACCGACATCATAAAACTGTACATTCTAATTTTGAAAAATCATTCCCACTACATTCTGCCGCCAGAAAGTAAAAAAAAACCTAATTAACAGCGATTTCAAGCATTTTCCTATTATTTCAGAAAAGATATCTCAAAATCCATTAGAACCCCATGACAACAAATATCATGTAGAAATAATTTTTACCCTGAAGAGTAACTTCAAAAATCGTTTTAAGGATTTCAATGAAATGGCTTTAGTAGTAGCGCAGTTTGTTGTTTCACCCTTTATGGAAATTGATGTCCAGCAGTTTGCACCTTGTGTTATGCAGAACTTTGGCGAAGACATCGCTGCAACAGAAATGGAGGTCATTGAGTTTCAAAATAATTTAGCCTTAAAATCGTCAGTCTCAAGTACTGAATGTATCTGGCCTATTGTAAGTAAAGACAAATATTCAGTTCTATGCCGTGTTGCCTTGTGAAAGCATTATTCAGTTCAACCTATTTGTGTGAATCTCCTTTTTCCAATATAAAGTTTATTAAGAACAAATATCGCAAGCGACTTACAGATGAGCATTTGGATAATTGTATTCGAATGGCTGCATCAAATTATACTGCAAACATTAAAAAAATTATCGATGAGCCTGAGTGTCAGCCTTCTCAATGAACGTGCTTTTTTATTTTTCAATGTTTATATTTATGATAGTGCGTTACTTTTTTGTTATTATTATTAACTATTTTTAAATTATACATGACATGCCATTGTGGTTAGATAAAAGTTTGTGTTTATTTTTCAAATACCTTCGTTTGATAGGTAGAAATGTAGCTATGAACAAGTACGTACTAGTAATATTAGTTATTTTGTTATTAGTACCTATGTATTATGTATTATCCGTTAAACAGCAAAATAAATACATCTAATGATAGATTAACCGTGGACTATTCCATTTAGGTTACGTTAAGTGGCTTCCGTGTGGGTAGCTCGCTGTTTATTCCAAAATTAACAAAGTAGCTCAACACATTGAAGAGGTTGCCGACCACTGCTATAGAAGTTTAAAATTCATATATGTATTATTACTGTAGAGGCTTTGTTACTGTAGAGTTTTAAAAAGAATAATAGTACATAAATATTGTGAAATTGTAATTATTTAAACAAATGTTTTGTAATCACAAAAGCATGTAATATATAACAAAAAAGGGAGGAGGAACATATGCACTGGCACCTAGATGTTGGTCGAAAATACTGTAGGCAATTTGGATTTAAATTCTGTTCATAATAAATTGTATATATGTATATGTTTTCATGATTATTTTTGAATTGAGAAAGCTGCAAATTATATATGGTATAGTATCATATCTGAAGTGCCAATTAGTGGTTTTTCTTTTGAAATCATCCTAATAGTTTTTTTCTCATATATTTTCAAAAGGTAATGGGTTTTACCCCATAGGTTGTGGTAAAACCGTTCGGGTGTTGAATTGCGTTTATGTTGTTTTTAAGCAAGCTTTGGGGTAAAACCGATAACACAAAAAAAAATTTTAAACTATTTTTTATGTAATAAATTGTAAAAATCAACACAAGATTTGTTTACTAAAGAACTTTATTTCAAAAATAAATACAAATTTGAGTTTAAAACATTAAAAAAACTTAAAACATAAAAGAAAACACATATTTCTAAAAAACAAAAGGAAGACAATGGTTCTTTGGTGGTACATTGGTAATTGGTAATTTGGTACTTTCTAACTTATTCTAACGTAAGGTTGGAAATCCCCCTGAAAGTAAATGATCCTCTTCTGAGAGTAATTGCTTGTAATCTTTGTATAATCTGTTCATTCTGAACTATGGCGATATTCTCGATTTCTGGATAAGCAAAGCAAATTTGTTTTTTAACGACTTTTTCCTCAAGCATTGAAGTGTGACCTTGTCAGAAATATCTGTAATTGTAGCAGCAAAAAATCGATTTTTTTTTATTCGTAACAAATTTAACAACAAATTCTCCAAGCTGAAAATTTGTATCATCAGAAACCTGGGGTGTGTCCTCTGAAACTTCCTCGTCATTTTCCAACTTTAAAAAACCTAAGATCGTGTATTTCTAACCCTTGCTCCCTTTCAGAACCATCACTTTCTTGTACAAGGTCTTTCTCAGAAATACTTTTTCCTGCTGCCACCTTCATCCTTTTACCTCTCTTTGGATTTTCACTTAAACCTGTTCTTAGTTCTCTCAAATGATCGGCAATGGTATTCGTCACTATTTGCTCGACTCTAGTCTCTTCCTATTCGCTATTTTCGTTTTCTCCTTTTTTCAAATGTTGTAATTTTTTAAACACTTGATTTGGATTTAAAGTTACTATGCCACAAGATTTAAAGCCTGCTTGGGTGTTTGAGGTTGATTTTAGACTCACTTTTTCTATTGTTTCTTGGACAAACAGTCTTGGAAAAACAGTTTTGGACAGGACACCCCTGTTTTTGATTTTCCAAATTGTGAGCACTTTCCTCCAAGCATTGTTTAAAGGTCGAAAATAGGCAACGTCAAGTGGTTGTAATAAATCTGTAAAGTTTGAAGGTCGAAGTATAAACTTTATACCATTATTTTCATATTGCTCGATAACATTGACTGTAAGATGACTGAATAGATTATCCCCTATCATTACTTTAGGACCTTCTAAGTTTCTGAAGTAGGGAAATGCTATCGATAGAAACCAGTCTTCAAAAGTTATGCTGTCAAACCAACCATTGGTCGTTCTATTATATCGTGCACCCGGAAAGCCTCCATCGACCCATCCCTTATACATATGCTTGGCCTTGCACACTATATAAAGTGGCAACAGTCTTCCATCACCAGCAACTGAAAACATAACGCTAGTGCTCAGTTTCGACGTGTCCATCACTCGATGAGCGTATTTTGATCCTTTTCTGACCACGACTTTTACAGTTCCTGGATCGTCCGTGAAGTTGGTTTCGTCATAGTTTATCATAAATTTCATTGTACTGTAATTTTCTTGTTGGCCCTAACTTCTTCTTACAGGTGCGAGGCATTGTCTGTAAACAAAAAAAATATGTAAATCGTACACCAATTTGAAGAGGAGCTAAGTGATCACCAAACCACCGCCACACTCTGTGCTGTCCATAACGTTCATATCCATAAGAATTAGGTAGGTACCCATTATTACTCCGAGATATTTTGCTTCGCTTTTCCACTCGATGGGATTACCTTGCACAGTTACCTGTTCTTCCGGTTTTTGGTGCCTCTTTTTAAAAAGTACAGCTTGCGTCTTATCGGAGTTTATTGCTATTTTCCACTTTAGGCTCCATTCTTCTATGTCGTCTAGTGTTGTTTGTAGATTGGTAACCGATATGTCTACGTTTCTGTTTGGCCGCTATCGCTGTGTCATCGGCATAGAGACTTAATAATGTGCCTGGTGTTCTAGGTATGTCTGTTGTGTATATCGTGTACAGCAAAGGTGACAATACCGCTCCTTGTGGCACTTCAGCCTCCGGATTCCCGAGTTCGGATATTACTTATCCGGACTCTGAAACTACGGTTGCTCAAGTACGAAGAGATTAGTCTTGTCATTGCTCCGCTGTGCCCGTATCTTCTCATTTTTAAAGTCACTGCTTTACGTCAAACAACAATGGAAAATCGGGAATTGTCCATTCTAAAGTAATTCATATGCTTTAGGAAGTTTAAAACACCTTAAACGAAACCATACACAGACAGAAATAGGCGTGTAAATAGAGAATTTAAACACAAGAATAAATAGAAAGAGGATAATGAAGATTAATATTGTAATAAAGCATAAACTTAGCATAAGAATATTAAGAATACTTTTAAAACAACTAACTTTAAAACCACAATTTACGTGTTAGCTTTAGAAGTAGGCACCAATAAGAATGTAAAGACAATAGGATGAAACTTTAAAAAGTAGAAGGAAATATTTATTGTATAATTTTAAGTTGTAAATTCTTTTTAATAACGCATCGGATTAATAGATAAAATATATTATTTCAGTGTAACCCTCTGTACCTTCATTGTTCTCCACCCTTGCACAAGTTAATGCTCGAATGTAGAGAGATACACACTCTTTTGAGCTGTCACGAAAAGACGATAAGGCAAAAAAATAAAAGGGAAATGACGGTTATGAATATTGCTAAAGATTTCCGCAACTTCAGAGGTAGATAAAAGTGAAAACACACGATTATACGTATCGGGGAGGATTATGCATAGCAGGAAAATAAACTCACTGTTTATTTGTTAGTCGCATGCTGCTGGATCGTTGAGACTATCGATAAACCAAGAGTTACGAGGAAATGCCATGTTTTTAGGAATTTTGTAGTTTTCTAAAGAGGAAAGCATCATATAATGTCGTTCGTTGGTAGATTTGCATTTATAAAGGTTAAATAGTAAGTAGAGAAAAATGAGCTATGATATTATGAAACGTACAAAAAATAAGGTTAATAGGATGACTTATGTGTTTTTTATTATTTATATTAGATAATCTCATACAATAAGTTCATATTCTACGATAAACTTTAAAAATAATCATTAGCGAAATCTGTAGCATAAAGAAATTCTCACGCAGGTTGAATTAATCAGATTTAGCTTAACGTGTCGCGTTAACATTAGGTTATGTAAGATATTTTTTATCTATATGGCTTTATCAAGTGAAAAACAGCTTTATTTCTAGATTATAAATTTAGTTTAAGACTTTATTGATCTGTAATTAGTAAAGAAACGAATTCATTACCTTGCTAATATAATAAAAATTATTATTGTTCTGAAGCTATTTTCTTGTGGCATTGTAAATACATTACTATTAAACTGGGAATAAGCCACAATTAAAGATAAAAATACGTTTATTGACGTTTCAATTTCCACTTCGGAAATCGTTCTCAAAATATAAACAGTAAATTAAACAAATTTTGTTTTTTGTTACATAGTGAAAAATTCTTCTAATAATTTAATTTTATCTGACTCATTTATATTGACAATTCAGACATACATAATGCATTTTAAAGTAGACGACTTTAAAATGATATTGCCAATATTGTTGAGTTGCGCTCCTGGGACGACTTTACTTATAAGATAGTTCATTCGATTACATGAAATCAACTTTAACTTGAGAATATCCGTCAGAAAAAAATCATAGCATGTAATTCGTCTTTAAAAAGACAAACACATGACATGATGACAGTAAAATTCTCTTGTTAGTGATTCCATAGTAAATTATGAGGGAAAACCAGGAAAAAAACCTCATAATACTATCCCGACATTGTAAGTATTTGTTCGTGAATTTAGTTTACCTTCAACAAACATCAAAATTCTGATTTTATATGTTACGTTATTTAAAAAACATAAATGATGTATCCTCTATATGTTACTGACTTACTAATACTGGTATTTTTTTTATTAATAACTTCCTCTTTCAATATTGGTAACCAGATCCTACTACATTCTGCCGAGGAATTTGCGACACAATTGGCCTC